TATATATATATTTGTTGTCAACAAAACGTATCGACATATTATTAATGCACCTTCAAAGGCATTGGTGCACCCTAATTTTTTTAATAAAGAACGAACTTCCTAGTAAGAATAGAGTGTATATATATTGTTAGTGTGTAAATTGTGATATGATGTGGTAGTTGTATTTCTAGCTCATATTGCTAGAATGATTAGCTAAATTGGTTGTATACTTTCTTGTTTAAGTCTCATAGGTCTTAAATAAGTAAGTAGACATGTGTCTTCATCTCATAGGGTGTAAGATGGAAGGCTGGGATTGCATTGATGTTATTTTGAATACTGAGATCAAATTTTCCCGAGAATCGCAACCCATGAAAGTGCAAAGGCTACATGAGACATTCTGAAACAAGAATTTGTTGGTGATAAGCAAGTAAGATTTGTGAAACTTCAAGGTCTTAGACAAGATTTTGAGTATACTCGCATGAATGATAATGAATCTCTCTCTATGTATATTGCTAAATTGTTTGATCTGATTAATCAAATGAGAAGTTATGGTGAAGATCAGAGTAATCAAAGAATTGTGCAGAAATTGTTAATTAGTTTGCCTAAATCCTATGATAGTATTGCAGCTCTGATAGAAAATACTAAGGATTTGGACACCATAGATGCTTAGGATGTGGTTGCCATTTTAAAGGGTTATGAACAAAGACTTGATAGGCATGGTGAAAGTAGTATGGAGAAAGCATTTGCTAGTTTGAACATTGCATCGAAACCAAATAGGTTTAATGGTCAAACAAACAATAGCAAATACCATAAGAATTTCAAGTCAAAAGGAAAACAGTGGAGTAACAAAACTAATTGGAGTAATAAGGTTGGTGTTCCTGTGAAAAATGAAACAAACAACAATGGAGATAAGTGTAAATTCTGTGATAGACTACACTATGGTGAATGTTGGGTCAAGAACAAGGTCAAGTGTCACAAATGCAATAAGATTGGACATATTGCAAGATACTGCAAGACAAACAAGGTTGTGCAACAAGTAAATCTTGCTTATCAGGTGGAAAAAGCTGTTAATTTGTTCTATGCTAATCACTTTGGTGAAGTGGAGAAAATGAGTGATGTGTGGTATATAGATAGTGGATGTAGTAATCATATGACATCCAAGGAATATTTGCTTGTAGACATTGATAGAAATGTGAAAACCAAGGTCCAAGTAAGCACTGGAGTCTTGGTTGAAGTGGCAGGAAAATGGACACTGGTCATTGAGATAATGAAGGGTAGGAGATATATAAAGGAAGTTATGTTTGTACCTCGTCTTGCAGAGAATTTGCTCAGTGTAGGTTAGATGACTAAGCATGGTTACTTTCTTCTGTTTGGAGACTATAGAGTGGATGTGTTTGTTGATAGATCTCTAAGAAGCTCGGTGGTCAGTGTGAAACCGAAAGGAAATATGTGTTTTCCCTTGATTTTCAGTACAAACAAAGAGCTTGCATTGAGAACAAATGTGCAAAAGTGTCCAAATGTGTGGCACAAGAGGTTTGGTCATCTAAATTTCAGGAGTCTTAAGTTATTACAGAGTCAATGAATGGTATTGGGGCTACCTAAAATCCAAGATAGTGATGAAATGTGTCAAGGGTGTGCACTTGGGAAGAATCATAGGGAGTCATTTCCTAAGGAATCAATGTGGAAAGCAAAGGAGCCATTGGAATTAATACACTCATATGTGTGTGGTCCTATGTAAACTCTAAGTCTGAGTGGAAACAAGTACTTCATTACTTTCTTGACTACTCAAGGATGTGCTGGGTCTATTTTTTGACAAACAAATCAGAGGTCTTCCATGTATTTAAGAAATTTAAAGTTATGGTAGAGCTTCAATGTGGATATCTTGTGAAGAAATTGAGAACAAATAGGGGATGAGAGTTCACCTCAAATGAATTTGAGAAGTTCTGTGAAACCTTGGGGTTAGAGAGACAACCCACTGTTGCATATTCTCCACAACAGAATGGAGTTGCAGAAAGGAAAAACAAGAATGTTGTGGAGATGGCTAAGTGCATGATGTATGAGAAAGAACTCCCTTACAATGCATGGTGTGAAGCAATGAACACATCTGTGTATCTGCTAAACAGAAGTCCTACAAAAGCTTTGGGGAATATTACACCTTTTGAGAAGTTCAGTGGAAGAAAACATGGGATTGAACACCCAAAAGTGTTTGGTTCAATGTGTTACTCTCTTATTCCAGGAAATTTGACACACAAATTAGAAGAAACAAGTGTCATAGGTATTTGAATTGGATATGGTGCTTGTGAGAAGGGATATAGAGTGCTTAATCCTGCAACTCAAAAGGTTTTGCTCTCTAGGGATGTAATCTTTGATGAAAATGGTAAATGGGACTGGGAGAAGCATAAAATCAAGGAAGTATGCATCCCACTATCTACAAATAAGTCTCTGGACATGGGTAAAATTGATGAAGTGTCTGAATCTCTGGAACAAGTGATACCTGATGGGTCTCAAGTTCAAATTGAAAGTTCTCCAGCCACTGGTTCTGATGAATCAACTAGCTCATTATCTATACCTCAGTATGATGATACTCCACTGAGGTACAGAAACTTGAGTGAGATTTATGAGAGATGTCACTTATGTATTTTTAACCAAAATGCTTTGATGAAGCTACACATGATAAAGCATGGAAAAAGGCAATGAAGGATGAAATGAGTATGATTGAGAAGAATCAAACATGGGAATTGGTAAGGAGACCATTTGATAAACCTGTGATTGGGGTAAAATGGGTGTATAAAACAAAGTTGAACTTAGATGGCTCGGTTCAAAAGAATAAGGCTAGGCTAGTTGCAAAAGGCTATGCACAAAAGCCTGGGATAAAGTATAATGAAAGCTTTGCACTTGTGGCAAGGTTAGACACCATAAGAACTCTTATTGCACTGGCTACAAAGAAGGATTGGAAACTTTTTGAACTAGATGTGAAATCGACTTTCTTAAATGGTGTATTTGAAGATGTGGTGTATGTAGGTCGGCCATATGGATTCATTGTGCAAGGAGATGAGGATAAGGTGTACAAATTGCACAAAGCCTTATATGGTCTAAAACAGGCACCTAGGGCCTGGTATGGAGAGATTGATTCTTATTTTGCACAGTGTGATTTTAAAAGAAGTACCAGTTAGGCAACATTGTATACCAAGTGTAGAGAAGACTCAGATTTGATCATAGTGTCTGTTTATGTTGATGATATAGTTTATACTGGAAGTTCTCACGAGTTAATGGATGAATTCAAGGCTGATATAATGCATAAGTATGAAATGACAGATTCGGGTTTGTTGCATCATTTTCTGGGAATGAGAGTTATGCAAACTGAAGACAGCATCTTCATATACCAGATGAAGTATGTCTCATCTCTGTTGAAGAAATTTGGACTCCAGGATTGTAAACTTGTGAGCACTCCACTTGTACCAAATGAAAAACTGAGAAATGAAGATGATTGTGGAGCTGCAGATGAAGTTTAATACAAGAAAATTGTGTGAAGCTTGCATATCTCACAGCAACAAGGCCTGATATAATGTATGTTGCATGTTTGTTAGCAAGGTTCATGCACTGTCCTTCTAAAAAGCATCATGGGACAGCAAAGAGGGTACTCAGATATGTTCAAGGAACTCTGGATTTTGGTTTAAAGTACAAGAAAGCAAAGGAGCAATTCCAATAGGCTTCTATGATAGTGATTGAAGTGGTTTAGAAAAAGACATGAAAAGCACATCTGGTTATGCTTTTACATTTGGCAACTGTTTCTTTTCTTGGACCTCTGTGAAACAACAATGTGTTGCTTTGTCCACGGCTGAAGCAGAGTATATTAGTGCATCTGAGGCAACTGCCAAGCCACTTGGCTACGATTTGTGCTAGAAGATTTTGGTGAAATGCAATCTGTTGCAACACCATTGAATTGTGACAATACTTCAACTATTGCTATCACTAAGAATCCCATATTTCATCTAAAAACCAAGCATATAAATATAAGGTATCACTTCATCAAGGAGGCATTGCAACAAGGAGTGATTGACTTGGTTCACTGTCCTACAAAGGTGCAAGTTGATGACATTTTTAAAAAGGCATTAGCAAGAGAGCAATTCACCTATCTTAGAGAACTTCTTGTGGTGAAATCAGTTCACATTTTAAAGGGGTTTGTTAGTGTGTAAATTGTGATATGATGTGGTAGTGTGGTAGTTGTATTTCTAGCTCATATTGCTAGAATGATTAGCTAAATTGGTTGTATACTTTCTTGTTTAAGTCTTATAGATCTTAAGTAAGTAGACATGTGTCTTCATCTCATAGGGTGTAAGATGGAAGGCTGGGATTGCCTTGATGTTATTTTGAATATTGCCAAAAGTATATAATGGTTAGAAAGAGTGATATTCCATCACTCTCTCAAATGAATGAAATGGTGAATGTGTGAAGAATATTCAGAGTCATATTCTCTATTCTCTCTCTCTCTCTCTCTCTCTCTCATCATCTTTCTTCCATTTTTCATACTGTAATTCCTTCCATTCTCAGAGAGGATATGTGTAGTCATAGCTCACAGTGTATAATTTCTTCGAACTCTAACATATATATCATTTTCCTCAAACAAAAGGTATCAACAGGTTATCAAATACATTTTCGACAGAGCATCCGTTTTTAATAATGAACGAACCTGCTGTACAGATTTCTAAGATATATATATATATATATGTGTGTGTGCGCGCGCGCGCGCGCGCGCGCGGGGGTGAAGTACCTGCAACATGTGACCTATATGGACCACAAATGCATTGGGATCAGGCTCAACAGCCAGCCATTGATCATCTTTCAAAACTTGAAGGCCATGAACTTGTTCTTGGAGAAGAATAGTTATGAGATTAATATTACTGTGTTTAGGTAATCCCAAGGTTAAACTTGGGTCTGGACATGGTGGGTAATAATTTGCAGCCATCAACTGCACTCGGCTCAGTTCACCCTAAAAAAATCCAGTTTCGAGTCCTAACCCTTCACAAATTAGATCCAGAAGACACAGCCGCAGCTTCCACACCTCCACCGAATAATGTCCCATCACTTCTCTGAAATTTTAGATCAGAAACAAAAAAGAAAATACATCTTTAACAATTTTGAATTGCAATGGTGACTTAAAATAAATGTCTTGAAGGGTTACGATGAAGTGATCATAGGCTCATAGTAGAAAAATACCGAACCCACATATATAGTTCATGAAAAATACAAACGTGTATTGTTTGTTGGAGTTTTGAGACTCCTAGTATCCCACATCGGGGAACTTTTTAGTTCCCATTGCCATTTATATATGTCTAGTCCTTTGTTCTAATAATTAGAACTTGGACCATTTGGAAATGGATTGAATGTTTGGACCTTATGATTTTGTAAGCCTAATACAATTAATATTAATTTTAATTTCAAATAAAGTTTTTTAATTAACATATTAATTAAGAAACGTTTGATTAAGAGACACAGCTCTTAGAAAGAGTTGTGTTTTCAAATACGCTCAACAGGTAGCGTGTGAAACAACCTATATATTTGCAATCACATTTTCCAAATAGTATCATCATTTTCTTCCTCTTTCTCTTCAGTACAAAATTTCCAAAGAGTAAACACACAAAACAATTCACTAGAATTCTATAATCTAGTGCGGGTTATAGAATTAGGTAGTTGTATTCTGGTCGAGCAGACGTTGTAGATACACAAGCACAAGAGTGAGACGGAAATACTGTTCTAAGGACATAGCTTTTGCATTAGCTTCTACCTGTGGTTAATCTTGTATTTATTCCTGTTATTTCATTCTGTATAGCAAGTATTTATCATTAATAAAGTGTTTCAAATTCTATTATTTCTGTTATTTTTATTTATTTCTAATTTTTTCTTCAACATTGTTCAATAGCTCTTTAAAAGATTCGATGAAGAATTGAGCCATTATATAATATTTTAGTATTATTTGTTTAGTTTTCTTTATTTGTAGTGTTTTTTTTTTCAATATGCTTATAGTACATGTATAAGTATGGAAACAATATATATGTTGGCCTAATTGGATTAATAGTCCCCGTGGTAATAGAGTAGTTGGAAGATAGTCTCTGTGGTAAAAAAAAAACTAGGATTTAAATCCCTGTGGTAAAGTCTGTTAGGATTTATGCACTAAATTAAAAATTCCATCAATTTTTTGTTAATTATTAGCACGTGAGCCACACATGTTAGGCTAAAACGGACTTCTCCATTAATTGTTAACGTGTGGGGCTAGCTCGCGTGCTAATAATTAAAGGAAAGTTGACAGAATTTTCAATTTTAGGCATAAATCCTAACAAACTTTACCGCAAGGGCTTAAATCCTAGTTTTTTTTTACCACATGGGCTATTTTCCAACTACCCTATTACCACGGGGACTATTAATCCAATTAGCCCTATGTATGTATTATTCATGCAAACAATATACGTGTATAGTAGTTTAAGAAAACACGTATCTTCCATATGTCTAATAATTGTATGGAAAACAAAGTATTTTTCAAAAAGTGTTTTGTACGCATATAATACACGAATCAACTAACTCTAGGGAAGTGATTAAAATGCCGATATTTAGCCGGTTTTTCAGGCCAGGAATCGATGTGTTCCTCCAGAGGATGACAAGTCTTAAACTGTCTCTCGAATAATGTTTCTGCTCCTTTACATAGTCGATGCTGGTGTATAGTCTGCAACTTTTCTTAGCATCTTCAGAATAGAGGCTTGCTTTGTCTTCAGAAGGCTGCTCAAAAAACTCCTTGGACACACTCACGACATCATGCATCAAATTGTCTGGCACTCCATGATTAACCAACTGCATTTGCAAATCTAGTTATCGATTTGTAAATCCGCCTTTTAACCACCAAAACAAAAAGAAAGAAGAGGAAGTCATTTTCACACTCTTTTCTCCCGTCTTTTTTTTTGCTCTAGCTGTTGAATTGAATAAATCAAAGAAGAATTAAGGAAAGACATAAACAAGAGAAGCATAGAATGAGAAAACAATAGTGTGAAAATCACTACAAAAAAATAAACGAGTATGGCAAACCTGGAAAAACCCGAATTCTCGGGCAGCTTCTGTGATCTGCTTGATCAGCTGTGGTTTGTCAGTGCCAAGAAAATCAATAACCGGGATGCTCTCAAATAGTGAAACACGTACATTCCCAGGTCTAGTTTCAAGGGGTAATATGTAAGATTCAGGTACATATTGCAAGTCCCTTCCGTTTGAGATGAGTTTCTCCATTTTTTTTTGTTCAAAATAATGAAGTTAATTAAAAATGAAATGGTGTAAAATAGTTTGAAGGAAGACAGATTAAACGTCCATTTCATAAAAGCATATTCTTTTTTCATGCTGTGGTATAGGAGCATGCAGAAACAGACAAGCCATAGTTGAAAATCAGAAGCGGACAAACCAAATGGTAAACTAAGAAGAATATTTAATTAATCGAAAACAGAAAAATATTGACGAGAAGGCTACATAATTGTTGGAAATTCAAATTAAAAGTCATGTGATCTGTCCATGTGATGCTAACCTTTCTTTACAGATTATTTCCAGCAAAATATAATCATCATTGCTCCTTCATTATTCAGCCGAATGGTGATGAAAGACAGCAAGTGTGCTGCCATGTGATGTGCTAGCAGGAAGACAGCAGTGTGCTGCCATGTGCTAGTCGAATATGTGTTATTTGCAGCTGGAAAGACAGCTGCTGTGTGCTAGCCGAATGTAGACAACCTGGAATACATTTGGTCTCTTCATTTTCACGTTCCCATGTGTTAAAGACAGCAGATATGCTGCTGTCTGTGTGCTGTCAATTGATGGTGTAAAGGTGTAGGTTGTGTTGTATTTAAGGAAGCCTCTCGTAAGGCTTTAGTGCATTAATCCCATCTGATTTGTCATTCAATTCTAGAAGTGTATTTGCAATCTGTTTTTAATATCAAAGTGCCTTGTTTGCCAAAGCTTGTAGCTTCCCTCATTTCTCAATTTTTTGTCCAATTTTATTGAGAGTGAAAGTGAGAGGTGTGATAGAGTTTGTAAACTTATCACCCACATATTTTGGTATTGAGTTAGTAAACTTTTCAATGCCAACAACTGGTATCAGAGCCAGAATACCATTCTGGCAGGTGCAGCATTTATGACATCCAACTTAGTGCAGCTCCAAGTTCCCACATTGAAGAAAGAAAATTATGAAAGATGGTGCATCCAATTCAAAGCATTGTTTGGATCACAAGAGCTATGGGAAGTTGTCAGTAATGGGTATGTTGTACCCACTACCGAGCAAGAAGCCACATATTCTGCAGATCAAAGGAACACTCTCAAGGATTTACGAAAGAAGGACCAGAAGGCGTTGTATCTTCTTTATCAAGGATTAGAAGATTCAACGTTCGAGAAGGTTGCAGAAGCAACAACGAGCAAGCAAGTATGGGACACACTCAGTACAATCTACAAAGGAGTAGATCGGGTCAAGAAAGTGAGATTACAGTCACTTCAAGCAGATTTTGAAACTGCTCACATGAATGAAGGAGAGAGCATCTCCGACTATCACTCAAGGCTCATTGTGATAGTAAATCAGATGAGGAGAAATGGCGAGAGACTCGATGAAGTACGAGTTGTGGAGAAGATACTCCGGTCACTCACATCTAAGTTTGAGCATGTGGTGACTGCCATTGAGGAATCCAAGGATTTGGAGGCGATGAGCGCAGAGGAGCTACTAGGATCCCTCATAGTTCACGAGCAACGCATTCAGAAGAATGCAAGCCCCACAACGCTAGAGCAAGCTTTGGAGTCAAAGTTGAATATTGACAAACCAAATAAAGGTCGTGGGCAGTGGAACTCACGTCGTGGGAGTTCATCCAACCGTAGCCGAGGAAGAGGTCGAGGCTATGCACAAAATCTAGGTATGTCTCAGGAGTGGAGATCTACTCGAAGAAATGCGCATATCCAGTGTCACAGTTGCAAGCAGTATGGACATTATGCAAATGAATGTTCATATAAAAATGGTGAGCATGTCAACATGGCAGAATCAAGTGGAAATACTGGTGAAGAACTTACAGTCTTACTAGCACACCATGATATCAGTAGCCAACAAGATGTCTGGTATTTAGACTCTGGTGCAAGCAACCACATGTGTGGAAAGAAAGAGTTTTTTGCCGAACTCAAAGATGGGCCTTATGGATCTGTGAGTCTTGGTGACTCCTCAAAGTTGCCAGTTGAAGGCAAAGGAAAGATCAAAATCATCCAGAAGGATGGTAAAGAAGAATACATCTCCGATACCTACTACATACCAGGTATGAAGAGCAACATTTTGAGCATTGGTCAACTGCTCCAGAAAGGGTATGTTATACATATGGAGGATATGTTTCTCACTCTCAAGAATGCAAGAAGAAAGCTTATTGCACGTGTTCAAATGTCAAAAAACCGAATGTTCCTGTTGAAGTTGAACACAAAGATTGGGAGTTGCAACATCGGTGTAATGGAAGATGGGTCATGGAAATGGCATCTTCGGTATGGCCATCTTCATTTCAATGGTCAAAAGTTGCTGTCAAATGAAAGAATGGTTTGTGGTCTACCCCAGATTGAAGCCACACGCCAAGTATGTGAAGGTTGTGTGCTTGGCAAGCAAGCACGACTATCATTCCCTGTTGGTGATACATGGAGAGCAAGGGCACCACTGCAGTTGGTGCACACAGATATATGTGGTCCATTGGATCCCATGTCTTATGGAGGTAATAGGTATTTTATTACTTTCATTGATGATTTTAATAGGAAGACTTGGGTTTATTTTCTCAAGGAGAAGTCGGCTGCCCTAAAAATCTTCAAGGAGTTCAAGGCACTCATAGAGGCTGAAAGCAACCACAAGCTTGTGGCTATGAGATCAGATAGAGGTGGAGAGTACACCTCCAATGCTTTCCAAGCATACTGCAAGGAGCAAGGAATTAGGCATCAACTGACTGCTGCCTATACACCACAGCAAAATGGGATAGCCGAAAGAAAGAATCGAACCATCCTTGACATGACAAGGTCCATGCTTAAGGAGAAGAATTTGCCAAAAGAATTGTGGGCAGAAGTTGTAGCTTGTTCGATTTATTTGTTGAATCGATGTCCAACAAAGAGTGTCAAGAGGATGACACCACAAGAGGCTTGGAGTGGGTACAAGCCGAATGTTGCACACCTAAGAGTTTTTGGGTGTGTTGCATATGCTCAGGTTCCAGAAGCCAAGAGGAGAAAGCTCGATGATCGAGGTGAAAAGTGTGTGTTTGTGGGATATAGTGAAGAGTCCAAGGCATACAAGCTCTACAACCCACTAACTGGCAAATTAGTGGTTAGTAGAGATGTCATCTTCAGTAAGGAAGAGGCATGGAAGTGGAACAACAAAGAAGTCAGTAAAGAGAAGATCGTTTCCACTGATTTTGAAGAACCAGAAGTTGTACCACCTGTTGAGCAACAACCTGCTCAAACAACCATAACAACTTCATTGCACAGAACTGCAAGGAGTGGTCCGACATCTAGTGAAAAAAGCAGCTCCTCAACTCCAGTAAGGCTAAGAAGTCTCACCGAGATATATGGACAAGAAGAAGAAGAAGAAACCAACTTTTTCTGCTTGTATGCAGACCACGAGCCTCTCTCATTCAATGAAGCTGTGGAAGAAGATCGTTGGAGAATAGCCATGGAGGAAGAAATCCATGCTATCGAGAAGAATGACACTTAGAAGTTGACAAAGCTTCCACCAAATCAGAAGGCTATTGGTGTCAAGTGGGTGTACAAGATCAAACGCACTGCAGATGGGAGTGTAGATCGGTACAAATCAAGGCTTGTAGCAAAGGGCTACAAACAGAAGTATGGAGTGGACTATGATGAAGTCTATGCTCCAGTTGCAAGACTTGACACGGTAAGATTGCTAATCTCTCTTGCCGCTCATCATAAATGGAAAATTTATCAACTAGATGACAAGTCAGCCTTCCTTAATGGAGTTCTTGAGGAAGAAGTGTACGTGGAACAACCGGAAGGCTTCCAAGTACAAGGAGAAGAAGAAAAGGTGTATCGTTTGAAGAAGGCTTTGTATGGCCTCAAGCAAGCACCACGAGCTTGGAACTCAAGGATTGATAACTACCTTCACCAAAATGGATTTCAGAAATGTCCATACGAGCATTCAGTTTACATGAAGAATGGTGCAAAAGGGGAGTTCTTAATTATTTGTCTCTATGTAGATGACTTGTTGTTTACAGGAAATAATGAAGCAATGTTCTGTGAGTTCAAGCAATCCATGTTCAGTGAATTCGAGATGATTGACAATGGATTAATGTCATACTTTCTTGGCATAGAGGTGAAGCAAGAAAGTGACGGTATCTACATCTCTCAACAAAAGTACATGAGAGATATATTGGAGAAATTCAATATGGATAAGTGCAATATTGTCAACACTCCAGTTGCAACTGGATTGAAGCTGTCCAAGGAAGGAGAAGGTGAGTTTGTAAACTCAACCGTGTACAAAAGCTTGGTTGGAAGTCTAAGGTACCTTACAATCACAAGACCTGATATAGTTTATGGTGTTGGACTCATGAGTCGATACATGGAAACACCAAGGGAGTCTCATTGGCTGGCTGCTAAGAGAATTTTGAGGTACATAAAAGGTACTCTAACCTATGGTCTGTTTTATAATTTTGGTGAAAATGCAAAATTATTTGGTTATTCAGATAGTGATTGGGGAGGTGACCAAGATGAAAGGAAAAGCACAACTGGCTATGTGTTTTTTCTAGGATCAACAGCTTTCTCATGGACTTCAAAGAAGCAATCAATTGTTGCTTTGTCATCATGTGAAGCCGAGTATGTTGCTGTAGCCTCAACAGTATGTGAAGCAATTTGGTTAAGAAATCTATTGAAGTCAGTGTGTCATCCACAAGTGGAATCGACTGTGATTCATGTGGATAACATGTCTGCAATCAAGCTTGCAAAGAATCCTGTTCAACATGGAAGGAGCAAGCACATTGATACCAGGTTCCATTTTCTAAGGGACCATGTGAAGCAAAAGACAATTGAGCTTGTCTATTGTCACACGAAGGAACAAGTGGCAGACATCTTCACTAAGCCATTACCAGTTGAATCATTCCGGCTGTTACGTGAAATGCTAGGCATGAAGGCGTTTTAATTTGAGGGGGCATGTTGGAAATTCAAATTAAAAGTCATGTGATCTGTCCATGTGATGCTAACCTTTCTTTACAGATTGTTTCCAGCAAAATATAATCATCATTGCTCCTTCATTATTCAGCCGAATGGTGATGAAAGACAGCAAGTGTGTTGCCATGTGATGTGCTAGCAGGAAGACAGCAGTGTGCTGCCATGTGCTAGTCGAATCTGTGTTATTTGCAGCTGGAAAGACAGCTGCTGTGTGCTAGCCGAATGTAGACAACCTGGAATACATTTGGTCTCTTCATTTTCACGTTCCCATGTGTTAAAGACAGCAGATATGCTGCTGTCTGTGTGCTGTCAATTGATAGTGTAAAGGTGTAGGTTGTGTTGTATTTAAGGAAGCCTCTCGTAAGGCTTTAGTGCATTAATCCCATATGATTTGTCATTCAATTCTAGAAGTGTATTTGCAATCTGTTTTTAATATCAAAGTGCCTTGTTTGCCAAAGCTTGTAGCTTCCCTCATTTCTCAAATTTTTGTCCAATTTTATTGAGAGTGAAAGTGAGAGGTGTGATAGAGTTTGTAAACTTATCACCCACATATTTTGGTATTGAGTTAGTAAACTTTTCAATACCAACAATAATTAGGTGTTATTAATATGTTCTTCCCTCAGTTTTTTATTTGGTCGTAGATGCATAAAACAAACAAATATGATCTTAAGGGGAATCTACAAACAACTATCTTGTTGAAGAATTTTGATGAAAATTAAACAAATTTACTGATATATATTTGAATGATAATATGACGACACAGTTTTACGGAAGAAAATATTTAAACTTGAATACTAAGAGCGTAATATGTCCTAATCAACTTGAATATGCCCAAATTGACTAACTAATTCATTGTTAAACATGAATTTGAAATCATCACTCATGAATAGGGGTGACCACAACAATTACAATTTGGAATCGTCGATCATAATTATTTGCATGTTATACATTGTTAGGTAAACAATAAAAAAAAATCACATTGTTGAGAGCTCTACGGGTGACAAGTACAATCCATCTTCGATAATGGGTTTCACATTGGTTAAAATTAACATTTGTTACGGATTCAATTCTTCTAATGAAATAAAAGGAATATCACATTATTGAAGATTGGACCTTTTAATGATTTACGGCAAGAGCTTTTAAAAGCGTCCTCTAGGTTGCTTTTGAAGCAAATATCATAAGAAGAAAAATAGAGCTTTTAATTAGATTATATCCGATCTCTAGGAAAAACTAAATGGAAAATTGCCATCTCCTTACACAATTACAATTTACACTTACTCGGCAATCCACCACACAATCAAGTGACCCCCTCACTGAAAAAAATAACAAATTAAAAGAGGAAAAGTATAAACTTAAATTGTAAGGTCTAATTCAGCTATGCACCTATGGACCAAAATATATAGATTTTGATGCAAATCAAATTCAATAACCTGTCTTAGTAAGTACAAGAGCTTAAGTAAATCCAGCCGATCATAAACATGCTTTGTCTCCGCTCTCCATTTTCATCTTCGAAACTTTGCCATGCACGACTAAGATGGAATCAACACCAACCTTGAGGCCACCTCTTTTGAGGATCCATTCGAGGAAGCCACGACTTCGTCTTCGAATTCCAGCCCAGTCCTCTCTGGTGTGAACAAAAACTTCATTACATACTGTTTTCTGTTCCTGCTCGGCGTTGGAGGACATTCTTGTTTATGCGCGGAGTCTTAGGCAAGTTGTCGAAGTCCTAATCCTCAGCCGGGAAGATCTCGTAGTGCGCCCGAATCTTGTTGAGCCTCAGATACTTCTGCTCAAGTGACTCTGTCGGTATGTTTCGTGCTAACAAAGGACAAGCACCACCCCAAGTGTTTGTGCCCAAGCCCAATGACGATGGGTGTTGGGGTGTCCTGAATTCCAGGATCGATCTCTCTTTGCCTCATTGTTATATATATTTGGGCGTTGTCAAACAACAAAGTTACAAATTAAAAAGCTTAAAAATTTACTAATACCATCAAATATTTCTCTCTATAAAAATAATCATATTATTATTCATCCATTGATCTGTAATCCAATTTCTTAATTGATTCTTAAAAAATTTCATAGTAAGAAATGCTCTATCACATGGGATTACTGTATGTATTATGTGCATTTTTTTCTCAAAAAAAAAAAATTGAGTGGGTTCATCCACCCCCTCTGGGCCCAAGGTGGCTCCGTCTATATATATCTAACATACTTTGACACTCATTTTGTGGGGTTCACTTCTTAATATATTTCAACGGTCCGAACGGTCTATATTTTAGTACATTATTCATAGATTATCTTTGCAAAAAAATTAGACAAATCCAAAACCATTAAAACATTCATTTGTAGTGAAGAAAATGGATAAATACGGTTTTACAAAGAGACACTAAATTTAAAGAGAATGGACAAATACGATTGGGGTGATTTTTGATAGACATGATTTATGAGGTAAAGCATAAAGAGAGACAGTTAAATGTGTGTGTCCGCAAAAACGTGTGTCAAAATGTGTGTCAAAAACATGTGACCCCAAATCCAACTGCGTAATGTTGCTACAGAATCATCATATAAACAAATGTGACAAATAAGAAAAATGTCCTTCAGTCACGGTACAGATGGCTATATTTTTATGAGGGGGTCCAAATGGTAACTTCATATTATCATAAGGGTAAATTCATATTAAATATCAAGTTGGACATTAGCTTTAAGGAAAAATAACATATTTCAGAAAAAAATACTAAGTCTAATAAAATATTTTAGGATAAGCCACACATCTTATTGCAAGTAAGCCTATGACTGAATAAAAGGGGTGGGAGATTACCGTCTTGTCCTCAAGCTTATTTTTTTTAGGATTTTATAAAGGCCCTAAAAGCCTAGGGTTTACTTTTAGGATTTAGCGTTTTAAAAGGTTCGTCAAGGTTTGGGGTTGATCATTTTGGGTTTAGGGTTCTAAAATGTCTTGGGAAGAGCTTAGGGCTTAAGGTGTAGGTCTTGGATTATGGATGGAGAACTAGAGCTTAGGGCTTAAGGTGTAGGTCTCGGGTTATGGACGGAGAACTAGAGCTATGCCTTAAGTGATTAACGTAGTGAAATTATTTTTCTTCTAAAAAAGCCTGACGTATGCATGTTACTCACAATTGATTAGGAAGATTAATTGCTATGGCCTTGTTTTAGCTTGAATTTCTTTTGAATTTGATATGCAAAATAATGGCTTCCTAATCAAAAGGGTAGAGATATGATGGAGACAAAAGGGGACGATTACCTAAGAACTTGAAGTTGTAACGTCAATTTCTTTTCCTATAGTAAAAAAGGAATTAGAGAAACAAACAAAAACAGAACCGGTCACAAACTTTTAACCAAAAATCGAATAAAGATAAACAAACATTAAACTGTATTTAAACTACGGTTTAGCGCCCCTCTATGTTGGGTTCCTATTTGTTAGGCCCAACTATGATGAATGAAAATATGTTTAGGTTATTTTATCTCTCTTTCCCTTTTTCTCTCTAATCAGGTAAAGTCTTATCACTCTAGTTGTATTTTTCATCAAACTTCCATAACTAGTATTATTTGTACATATTTCCGAAAGAATAATCTTGCAGAATCTTTTGGAAGAAGTTTACAACAGCCAATTTCCAACAGGAAGAACATTGTGTCATCGATACATGTATCAAGTATTCAGAGAATCAGATTCATTCCTAATTTAACGATACGTGCCTTTTTATTTTAATATTAAATAATGAATTCATTTAATCATAACACACTTCAACCTTGGAGAGCTTTAATTTTAGTTGACATAACAAACTCCCGTATACGTCCACGAGATTCCAATCCAAAGATTGTTAAGCTATACACAGAGAAGATGAAGCATCACATAGAAGCAGAGGAAAGATAGCTGAAAATGATTCTTGTATTCATTTCTTAGTGAAGAAGTAATTACATTGATGAGGTATTTATACAACTCACTAACTTCTAACAAACTGCCTATCTATAATCTTTGGACAAGTGGCAGCATCACAAGCATACAAGCAACCACATTATATCTCTATCCAAGACCTCTGTCAACAAATTGGAAACTAAATGACACGATCAAATGGACGTTGGCTGCTTTAAGGTTGGAGCTTATAAAGGTCGAGCGGCGCTACTCCATCAAGAGTACCTTGTATGTAGGTGCTAGCAAAATCTTTATATATAAAAGCTCTGTAGAGTGGAGAACTGTCCTTAATAAGTGCTTTTGCAGGTTCAATACGGCAGGTGCTAGAAGTATTTATGAAGCATCCGACTGATGTCCTTGAAACCTTACTATCTGTCACAACTCTGTGGTCAGCACTGCTCAGATTCCCACTGCTAATAATCTGTATTCATAACAAAATGCATGAGAATGTTGTTAAACAACGGACTATTGATCTGTTATTAATAATCTATTGAGATATATATATATATATATTATTGTCGTCAACAATGCGTATCAATATAGTATTAATGCACCTTCAAAAACACTGATGCACACTAATTTCTTTAATAAAGAACGAATTTCGTCCACAGAATGAAGTATATATAAGTCTGGCTAGATATAATACGGCTATGGAACATGCGTACATTCTTAATATTCGGCGCTCATGATGAAAATGAACCTCCTGTACGGGAAACTTCTCAGATAAACATGTAATAGATGTGGGTGAAGTACCTGTAACACGTGACCAATACTGACCACAAATGCATTAGGGACAGGCTCAACAGCCAGCCACTGCTCATCTTTCAAAACTTGAAGGCCATTAACTTGTTCTTGGAGAAGAATAGTTATGAGATTAATATTAAAGTGTTTAGGTAATCCCAAGGTTAAACTTGGGTCTGGACATGGTGGGTAATTATTTGCAGCCATCACTTGCACTTGGCTCAGTTCACCCTCAAAAAATCCAGTTTCGAGTCCTACCCCTTCACAAATTAGATCCAGAAGACAAAGCCCCAGCTTTCTCACCTCCACAGAATAATTTCCCGTCACTTCTCTGAGATTTTAGATCAGAAACAAAATGAAAATACATCTTTAACAATATTTGAATTGCAGAAGTAACTTAAAATAATTACTGAACACGTATTTATGTACATGAAAAATACAACGTGTATTATTCAGTAGCTCTTTAAAGGATTCAATGACGAATTGAGCCATTACATAATGTTTCAGTGCGTATTATTTGTTTAATTTCTTTATTTGTAGTTTTTCCTCAATACGCTAATAGTACATGTATAAGTATGCAAACAATATACATGTATTATTCATGCAAAAAATATACGTGTATAGTAGTTTAAGAAAACACATATTTTCCTTATGACTGATAATTGAACGGAAAACAAAGTATTTTTGAAAATGTTTGTAAGCGTAGAATTAATAACAGTAGTGCAGAGAAGCACAGAAATGCAGAAAGAGAATAAGATATTAACAGTAGTGCAGAGAAGCACAGAAATGTAGAAAGAGAATAAGAAAGAGAGAGAGAGGGAGAGAAAGTAATTGATTACATTGATACTGAATTAATTTTTACAACTATGAGAATACAGTTTATATAGCCATCATGACTAACTTGCAGCCTAAGCTATTTAACTAACTAATTTTGGTAACAACTCTAACAACCTTTTGGACATTGTCAACATCCCCCCTCAATCTCAACTGGGATTGCCCAGTTTGAGATTGAAGCAGACCATCCAGCAATCAACTTCTTACAATCACAGAAATCAAGAAACACAACCTTCTTCAGTGGCCTTCAATGAAGAAAGGGAACAAGAACTACACTCCGGCAATCGGCCTTAATGGAGTTGCACACAATAACAACAAACAAAATTTTTCAAGAACGTTGCTCCGGCTATCGGCCTTATGGAGGAAACAAAATGCATTCAACACACTCTTGGCAATCGGCCTTTTTCGAGTGCACAAATCTGAACAAATCTGAAGTATATGGCTATCGGCCTTGACACTTCCAAAATTCCCAAGAAAATTCTCACTGAGACATTATCACAAACAATTGATATGTTGGAAAGAAAATTAGTAATCTAAGACAAAACCTGAGAACTTGAATCTTGAAACACATAACACATTGTCCTTACTCCGAATCACTTGCAGACACTTCCTTATCCTTTTCTTTCTCTCTCTTTTGGCTAGGCAGTGCACAGACATACCCTGCTTCTGGGATCAATCGACTTCCAGTTTGAGATTTTGTGCTCCTTCTCCTTCAACTTTTTAACCGGACACGAGTTTGTAGCACTACCATTACGGGCTAACATCTTTTTGTCCTTGATGCTTCATGGATAACTTGGCTGGTCCATTTTCTTCCCTGAATTGGTTGATTCAGGATTCTCCTCTGCAGCCCTCAAATTTTCTAGTTTAGTAGCCACTTCAAGATTGTTAGAATCTTTTTGGGCAGGCAACACATGCTCTAACTCTTGTGGAGTATCTGAAGCCGCCAATACTTCCTGCTTATTGGGCCGAACCCATTCGCCATTAACCCAATCTTGATGCAATCTGTGACGTTCTTTCTGAAATTCGATCAAATCCGGAGGGTTTTCGAAGACGACAGTGTACTTGGAATTGTTCTCGACAACCTTCCCTACGACCCCAGTCCAAAAAAAAAAAAAAAAAAAAAATCAGAGAAGAAAGATAAAGATCACGACTTTGCTGGTCCTCAAGTGCAATCTAGACGAATCCGACCCGATCATCAGAAAACGCACTCGAACATCCAAGCTTGTATGAAAACTCGTTCACCCACAGTGGAAGAGGATCACCAAAGATCAATCCATGGCTCTGATACCATAATAACAGTAGTGCAGAGAAGCACAGAAATGCAGAAAGAGAATAAGATATTAACAGTAGTGCAGAGAAGCACAGAAATGCAGAAAGAGAATAAGAGAGAGAGAGAGAGAGTAATTGATTACATTGATACTGAATTAATTTTTACAACTATGAGAATACAGTTTATATAGCCATCATGACTAACTTGCAGTCTAAGCTATTTAACTAACTAATTTTGGTAACAACTCTAACAACTTTTTGGATATTGTCAACAAGAATAACTATAGGGAAGTGATTAAAATACCGATATTTAGCCCGTTTCTCAGGCCAGAAATCGATGTATTCCTCCAGAGGATGACAAGCGTGTCTTAAACTGTCTCTCCAGTAATGTTTCTGCTCCTGCACATAGTCGATGCCGGTGTATAGTCTGCAACATTTTTTAGCATCTTCAGAATAGAGGCTTGCTTTGTCTTCAGAAGGCTGCTCAAAAAACTCCTTGGACACATTCACTACATATCATGCATCAGATTGGCTGGCACTCCATGATTAATCAACTACATTTGCAAATCAAGTTTTCGATTTGTAAATCTGCCTTTTAATTCAAATAAAACCCACCAAAACAAAAAGAAAGAAGAGGTAAGTCATGTTCACACTCTTTTCTCCCGTCCACGACTCTTTTTTCTAGCTTTTAGGAATGAATAAATCGAAGAAGAATCCAAGGACAGACAAAAAACAAGAAGACAAGCTATAAAATGAGAAAACGAGAGAGTGAAAATCACTACTAAAAAAATAAAACGAGTATGGAAAACCTGGAAAAACCAAATTCTCGGGCAGCTTCAATGATCTGCTTGATCAGCTGTGGTTTGTCAGTGCCAAGAAAATCCATAACTGGGATGCTATCAAATAGTGAAACTTGTACATTCCCGGGTCTAGTTTCAAGGGGTAATATATATGTAAGATTCAGGTACATATTGCAGGTCACTTCTGTTTGACATGAGTCTCTCCATTTTTATTTGTTGTTCCTGTTGGATATATATTAACAATCAATGATATATATATATATATAGAAAAAAATTCGTATAAGGTAATAATTAATAAATTACAACTAGGTATATTGACAGAGTATGGAAAACGAAAGTAATATTAAACAGATAAAAATGAAGATCAAGGCTTACGCATCGCAATGTCCTCGAAACAAAAATTAGCCCTTACTCTGGGCTTGTAGTTCTGTAGGTGTCTGCTTCCCTAGGATTCAACGATCTAAACAAGAATTCCAACACCGAAAAATTTAATTTCTGGCAAATATCAATGTGGTTCTCTATGCTCTGTATGGAAGGATGGATGATTTTCAATGATCTGGTTGATATGCAGATGCATGTATTTATAATACTAATATGCTGTTCACAACAGGTATCATTTTGAGAGGTGACTGTTCAACGTAAAAGGATGTGTGGCTTCAACATTTCTCATCTTAAACCTTCATCTGAAATGATGAGTTTGATGAGTTTAAACGTTAAAAAACTTATTTCAAAATTAAAATATTAATTAATGGATTTAATTTTTTAAAGCCCGAGCCTGAGGCCAATCGTTTGACAATTAAATATATTTTTACATTAATTATATATTTAACTATCACACTCAAGTCTAAACTCAAGGTTCAAGACCAATTTTACTTCAAATAGTCTGTCTTTCCAATCATTTTGTATGAGGATAAATTTGGTTGTCATCCCTCATTTCTCCTTCTCATTAATTGAAACCTCATTCCTTTTTCATTTTTGATCAAGGTCTCTTGACTTTTCTTGATGTCATTATTTGAATATTAAATTATTTACAAGTCATTATTGTCAATTTGAAATTGAAAAATTATTAATCATTTTCAAATATAATCTTTTTAGTATTTTTTTTGTCATATATTTCTATTTATAATTTGTATCTTTTTTTTTTAATTTATACCAATATTCTTTTTAGTTCGAACTTGTACCATATTTTTGAATTTTAATATGTACCCATATTTTCAATTTAATTTGTACCCATAGTTTTGAATTTTAATATGTACCCTTATTTTAAATATAATTTGAACCAATATTTTTTATGAACGTATGCATGCTAATTATATGTTTTTATTTTATATTTTAAAATATATCAATAGTTATTACTTGCACTATATTAATAATTATGTGGGTAGATTTTTTTTTTTTTTTTGCGAGAACTATGTGAAGAATAAATTACTCTATTATTGATTTTTAAGTTTGTTATATTTGTAACAATATTATTTTGATTTGTTTAAATTTCATAATTTGTGGGATATTGAATGCATAAATGCATGAGTTAAATCCCTTAAATGATGTAAGGGACCTTAATCAAACTATTTAAACAAATAAGGTTTCATTCTAACAACTAGGTTAATTAGAGACCTTAACCAAAATGACCCAAATGGTGATTTTGGATGCGGTCCCTATTTATCAACGTTCTTTGATTGAAACCTTGTTGGTTTTCGGTTTTTTTATTGAAGTCCCTGAAATTAATGCAATAATGCATTTCTATGTAGGTTTTTATAATTTTTAAATTAAAATTTGATATTTGTAGTTATTTATATTAATGAGATTTTAAATAAAATCCATAATTTGTTGAAAATATTAAAAAAAAATTATACTTAAATAAAACCCATGATTTGTCATTACTTATATTAATGACATTTTACATACAAAAAATTGGTAATTTTTTTATGATACATATTACATACAAAAAGTTGGTACATTTTATACAAAAAAAAAAAAAGTGACACGTTTTATATAATGGGTACATTTCATATATATATAACAATGGGTACATTTTACACAAAAGAGATGGTACTTACAAAAAAAAAAAAAAAAGAGGTACATTTTACATATAACAAAGTGGTATATTTTTAAAGACAAATGGGTACATTATTAATAAATTATGGGTACAAATAAAAGGTCAAAAAAATATGAGTAAAAATAAAAGTTTGAAAAATATGGACACAAAAAAAAAAAAAATATATGGGTACAAGCTAAAACTGAATAGAAAATTGGCACAATCTAAAAAAAGAGTTGCAAATTAAAATGGGTACAAACTAAAAATAA